TATCTATATAAATAGAATTCCAGCATCCATCAATATTGCACTAAATTATTGTCCTTGTGATAAAATTCTAAAATGTCTAATTGAATATTAATATAATTAATTTGTACGGACATGACAATATCGCTCTTGATGCAACTGACTTAATAATCACCATCAAATTTCGCTTGTGTGAAATTTCATTACTTGGCAAATCGGCGAATACCGAAGGATGCTCGAAATTGTTCGAAGTTTCAAATTCAATATTGTCATCGTTAATTAACAGTCAAAACTCAGCGATGACGCGATATGCGATTTGAGTGACATCGCTTTGAAGAACTTTTCAAGACTGATCGGCGAACTTCTGTGTTCTATCTTGTTATGTCCGACGCCTTTTCGCCCACGTGGTCATCAGTAGCTGATAACTCGTGTATGTGTACACACGCAATGTGTATCACGCAGATTAACTTGGCCAAGAAAAGAGGGAGAGAGATAGAGAGAAGAGAGAGAGAGAGAGAGAGAGAGAGAGAGAGAGAGAGAGAGAGAGAGAGAAAGAGAAGCCCGATACCAGTTCGCCATACTGGCGAAACTTTGTGAAGGTGTATGCACGTAGTTTTAGTGTTGTGTTTCTGCACGGGTGCGATCCTCAATTGGGACCAAAATAGGATGAAGTGGTGTGAGATCGATAGATCCAGGGTGTCGCTGCAAAGTCGACGTTATCCCTCCATCATCACCAAGAATCGGCGTCGTCACGTTATCCAAGAAACGAAAGATAGGCCGACCACGATGCATCATCAGCTTCATGTTGGTTACAACGGCGTTCAAGGCGGTACGATGCCGTATACGAGAAGAGCTTCACACTGTGTGTTGATTATTCTAGATAATAATTGTTTCAAAAGAGGGTGAAACATATAATGAAGATTCCGAAGCAAAGAATAGTAGTAGTATTACAAAGAAGTTAAATTTTATATTAAATATTGTTATGCAAATATTCTTTATCTCTCTCTTTTTTAAAATGAAAAAATCTATATCAAATGTTCCTATAAAAAATAATAATTGTAATATATATATCTTTTAAATATTTTAATGCATTTATAATTTATTATATGACACAAAAACCAATAGCGCACAAAAAACTTAAAAAGTAATACGCAAGCAATAAGTGAAATCGTATCATCATAGAAAACATATCATAGAAAACTTAAAGTAACAAGTAAGTCGTAGTAAATTCAAAATGTTGATTTGCTTACTAAGTTTTTCTGTGTATCATTGGCTCAATACGCTAAAATAAAGGATGATGAAGTAAAAGAAAAAAAAAATGAATATTTAAAAAAATCAGATTCATGAAATTTGTATGTTTATATTTCAGGATCTATCGGAAGCAATGGCTCTGGTCAAGGTTGGTCCACGCAAGTGGAGGAACTTGCTGAACATCTTGCCGTTGATTTTGATGGATCATTATCCGCTCTTGCGGCATCTGATCTTGCAACAGCTGTCGCCTCTTACACTAATATGAGGTAAGTGATGTCTTGGAAAAATTTTGAAAATATATGTCCAATTATTTCTAACAAATTGCTAAAAGGGATGAATGTGACACTCTTTTTTTAGCTTATTATCATAGCATTTTTCTCAATGAAATTTTCACTAATAATAAGAAAAAATCAATTTAACATACTGATCAAGCAATAGTCGTGATGTGATACATCTTAAAAAAAATGCTCCGCAAAAATTTATAGTAAAATGTTTACGTATCGATTTTACTCGATGTCTCAATGATATGTCGAAAGCTGTCCATCGACAGAGCGCGAATAGTGAGCTTTATGGTCGGTACCGTAGGCTTCTGCCACGAACAAGAGAAACTCGTACAAAACGGCGGCCAGCTCTGATCTAGAAATCCGGTTAAAACTGGCCACAGTTCTTGGCATTACGTCGCACCGGAGACACGAGAAAATCAAACCGGTCGGCAGCAACGAGTATTGGTGTGTCGCTTTTAACGTGTGTGTACGCGAAGCATCTAATGCGAACGAAAAAGGAGCGGTGGAAATCGTAAAATTTCTCTCATATTTCCATTTTATAAAAAAAAGAATAAAGACACTGTATATATAGTTAAAATAATTTATATCTAAATATATTTAAATAAAAAATACATGCGTAATTTCTGCTTATAAGTAAATGATTACATTTTATTAATTTATTTTATTTGTCGTAATAGATTTAAAAAGTTATGATTTATAATCGATATCTTTTTATTTATATTATATGTACACTTATATTATATGTACATGAATAATTTCGTACAAACATACGGCGAAAATGGTTCATACCTTCGTGATAAAATATATCATATATGCGTATCGTAAATTCACGCTACGAAGGACGTTGAAAGTCCATAGGTATATACATGTGTGTGTGTGTGTGTGTGTGTGTGTGTGTGTGTGTGTGTGTGTGTGTGTGTGTGTGTGTGTGTGAGTGTGTGTGAGTATCATTTTTCAAATAAATGAGAAATAGCTTTTATGTATATTTCATAATCCTTTTACGTTTTTAAATACAATAATAATTCGTAAAATTTCTTTAGTATTTTTTATCGCGGTTAGCATATTTTACAGCAATAATTTTATTAATGCAATTTTGTACAATCTGAAAAAATATATTTTTTGCTATGAAAAGAAACTTTTCTAAATTATAATAAAGGAGAGGTAAAAAATCTTGATCTTATATATCAACTGATCGTGTCACGTGTATCAGCTGATCATGAGTACGTAAACGTGACAGAGTTACGACGTGCGGGAAAAAAAACAGATGTGTCCATGAATGAAGACGCGCGTCGTTCGGCATGGTTCAAACCGGTAAGAAACCGACTAGTACACCAGTTCGTACATACAACCGGTTTATTCTTGATGGAGTGCTGGCATATCTCCTAAGGCAGAGGCGTGCGAAGAGTTGGCCCGCGTACAAAAATAATTTTGCCATCTCAGTAGTG